ATACTTTCTCATTCTGTCATCATTTCTTCTACGCAACCTGGTATCTTAAAAATATTTTGACTTGACACACAATTTATTCCTTCATCAACCCTAGGGAAGGTTCCTGAGCTCAGAATCCAAAATGTCTAAGGGTTTCTATCCTCTGCTTTATGTAGATTTTTGTATTTTTCCCCCTGAAGTTGATTTCATTTTTTTAAAATTAAAACATTAAAATAACTGTTCAAGATAGCACAAGAAATTTAGTTTAATTCACTGAGACTGATCATTTCACAAGCTGTCCTGTGGAAAAGTTCTCCTACCTGTGGAATTTTGTAGATGTTCAAAATGTGAGCTATGTGGATAGAGCTGTGAGATGTGAGGCCACCAATGACATCCCAGAGCTTGCTTTTCATCCTTCTGACACAATTGTAGTTCAAGGCATTCCCTTGCTTTAAAAAAAGAAATTTTAGAATGTTCCGAATGGCAAAATCTATTACAAAACTATGCTCAAAAATCTCCACTTCTAGAGTAGTGTTGGGTAACAGCTTAATGTTCTTGTTGATCTCATGAATGGCAAAATACAGGGAAAGAATATGTTGGTAGTCTTTGCTGATCATTCTGAAATCGGAATGCATAAATGCACATCATTATGACAGAAAAAGAAGCAAACCAAGTATAAATAATGTATGTAATTTCAGCAATTTGCAGCGGTATTTAGATTTTTACTTAAAGAAACTTTGTCCTTTTCACATCATGCTCACAATATCAAATAACAACAGAGGAGAACCATGCATATCCACCCTTTGAAAATGAGCAAGAATTCTTCTGCCTGAATGGACAGTCATTTAATCTCGTTCCTTTTTCATCACAAGAATGTACCAACAACACACTTTGTCACTTGCTAACTTCTATCCTTTAGATTCTTAATATATATGAAAAACCAAGATAAATCAGTTTTACTCTTTGTTAGAACACATAGAAACAAAATAACACATTTGCTGTTAATCATGTAGTTAATATCAACTTCATAAAAAGGTAGCAACTTTTCAAATCATTTGGAATGGAATATTTAGAAATTAAAAGACACTTGCCCCTGGGGAGGAAAGCTATGGCAAATCTGGCCAACATACTAAAACGCAGAGACATCATCCTGACAACAAAAGTGTGTATAGTCAAGGTTATGGTTTTGTCCCAGTTGCAATGTATGTCTGTGAAATTTGGACCATAAGGAAGGCTGAGTGCCAAAGAATTGAGGCCTTTGAACTCTGGTGCTGGAGAAGACTCCTGCGAGTCCCTTGGACTGCAAGGTGATCAAACCGGTCAGTCCTAGAGGAGATCAACCCTTTAGAAGGGTTGCTCTTTAGAAGGCCAGATCCTGAAGATGAAACTCAAATACTTTGGCCCCCGAATGAGAAGGAAGGACTCACTGGAGAAGAGCCTCATGCTGGGAAAGATTGAGGGCAAAAGAAGAAGGGGACGACAAAGAATGAGGTGGCTGGATGGAGTCACTGAAGCAGTAAGCGTGAACTTAAATGGATTCCAGAGGCTGGTAGAGGACAGGAAGGCTTGGAGGAACATTGTCCATGGGGTCGCAATGGATTGGACATGACTTTGCAACTAACAACAATAATTATGAGCAGATCCCACACTTGTATATTATGATGAATAGCTAAGCACCACTTCTCTGAAAGCCTTAAAATGGATAAAACCACTCAATGCTACACCCTCTGAACCAGAATTTTCTGCTTCTTTCCTTGATTTTATCCATTTTCTTTAAACATATCATGCATTAATACAAAGAAGAAAGATGTACTCACAATCCTCCTTTGGATGTGTTTGGCTTATTTATGAAATTTACTAAACTTAAATCGCTAAAAACAATTGAAATAAATGCCCCAAGTATCACATCATCTTTATTGCCACGTTGTTCTTCTGGATCTTTAGAGGGCTGGTGGCAAATGGATTTGAAACTCTCACTGATATTTTTAAAAAGGAAGAAGAAAAGAAAAAAGGATTGAACTGCCAACATTTTTGATCTATTGCCCCATCTTGGCAAATACATAACTGACATAAAAATAGCTGTGATCAATGCAAGCAGCATTTATTAACGAGACCTAAGAGGAAATCTCTGTGCAAAAGCATGAAGATGGTTAAAAGAAAAAGGAGGAATTATTACAATTTCCACGGACTGTGCCTGGCTTGTTACAACTAACCTTTGTATCAAATGGGAAATATCAGGTGTCTTTGCAAAGTGTAGCTGGCTAATTTCTGCCTAGTAATCTTTCTACAAGTTTGATAGCTCCAAAGATTAGAAAATGCAACATAGTGATTTTCTTAATTATAGGGCAAAATAATAACTTTCCCTCAAGTCCATTAGTCCCTGGAGATCTAAGAAAATTTTGTTTTTGCAAAATCTGAACATGGCCAGAATTCAGAATTTAGAATTCACAGGATTTTAGTTTTTTTTAAAAGAGATAATAAAAACTGGGCACTTACTAGTAACCTGCACTTCAAATAGGCACAAAACTGAGATTCTAAGACCGATGTGAATAATTTAGTATTCCAATTTAAATTACAAAGTTCCCATCCTGGCCTATTGCTCAAAGCTCCACTGATGCAATTGTTAGCAAACGTAGAAGACAGTCATATTTTTTTAAAAATGGACGAGACAGGTTTTTTTGTATAAATGCTATGATGCAGTGGTGGGATTCAAAAATTTTTACTACAGTTTCTGTGGGCATGGCTTGGTGGGCGTGGTGTGGTGGCCGTGGTTGGGCTTGGTAGGCATGGCTTGGTGGCAGGGGAAGGATACTGCAAAATCCCCATTCACTCTCCACTCCAGGGAAAGAATACTGCGAAATCCCTATTCCCTCCCCACTCCAGGGGAAAAATACTGTGAAATCCCCATTCCCTCCCCACTCTAGGGGAAGAATACTGCAAAATGCCCATTCACTTCCCACTCCAGGGGAAGGATACTGCAAAATCCCCATTCNGCCCAATCATATGATTGCCAAGCCACTTTCACTCGGTCACATGGCTGACAAGCCACTCCCGCCAGGTCACATGGCTGGCAAGCCACTCCCACAAATCCGGCCACACCTACAGAAGAGGTTCTAAAAATTTTTGAAATTACCACTACTGGTATATACCCACCATTTTCAAGTAGAATTTCAGGGATTGCTTTAAAGTCCTAAACTTCATTGATAGAGAAGCAACAGAATTATGGAATACATTTAGAGAAGTTGTTAACCCTCCTTAAGTCTTTAGACTGGAAACTTGATAGAGAGGGAATTGTCTCTATCTGCCTGTTCTCTAGGCAGCATCTCTTGGCCCTATCTTCCCACATACTTTTAGAGTTATGTTGGCAAAGAGTGTACCATTGTGTAGACCGGATCATCTTTAAACAAGTCATCATGGAGAGAAATTGTTCTTGGTGATTCCTAAGAGTCAGCATTGACCTGATAGCAAATGATTGGTCGATCAATTGACCAATTGCAAAGGCTTCATATTGCTGCTTCCACCTGATCCTCTTCGGTCCTTAAACAGGGTTAAGAGAGAGAAGAGAAATAACCTACCTGCCAGGGCTGGACATCCCAGAGAGTTTCTCTATTCCGGTTTCTCAGAAAAGCTGAATTTCCTCTTGTGGAATACATGGCATGCAGGGCATGTGCTGCAGAATGCACCCCATTGTAGATATTGTAGCTCTCTCCAGACATGCTCATTTCAAACAAAGAGCCATGGAGTTTCCCCAATTCTTCTTTCCCAGTGCAGTATCTTCTTCCTTTGTAATAGGGAGGTATGGTGCAATGAAATGCAGTTGCCCAGAACCAATCAAGAATAGGAAAGGTATCAAACTAAGGGTTCATTTTTTCAAAAAACTCCTGAAATCTTGGGACCGTGTTTGTGTGCAGTGAGAAAAATAAGGAACCATTCATGAATTGTGCTGGAAATCTGTTCTGCGCCAAGTAGACAGCAGTGATATCGAACTGAGAAGTTATGACCCACACTCTGCGATCCATTGGCCAATTCATTGATTCAGTCACTTGTAGAATCATCTGTAAACTGACCATGGATTGCACATCTCCAGAAAGAAGGAACACATTCGTTGTAGATAATAAAATAGCAAATGCTATGTCTTGTAGTCGGTCAAAAAATTCTTCACCTAATTTGAGAGTTTTGATGACTGGGATCAATTTCCTCAAAGCAATGCAAACATCATTCTTCAAGAGCTTGGGTTGGAGATTTCGAAGAAAAGCTTCCCCACTTTCATTGTCTGATATTAAAAAACCAATCCAGTTCCATCCAAAATGCTTCAGTAAATGAACAATCCCCTCATATTGTACATGTTCATTGGGAACCAGGCTGAAGTAGGACGGGAACTGCATTTTATCACTCAGGGCTGGGTCCAATGAGCCATAACTGAGCTGTTTGGAAGAAACATGCACAAAAATTTAAATTGAGAATCCTTTTCTGAAGAACATGGATCTTTTCCATCTTCGGCAGAATTTTGAATGCTACTATAAGATTATGATTGAGATTTTGAAGTTTGTAACAAATTTTTTTTTAAATGTGAAAAAAAGATTATGATTAAATTAGAAAAATCCCAAAAATTTCCATCAAGCTTTAAATGGAAGAACCAGATCACAACCTTCCTAAGAGGAGCACTTCAAAATGTATGTTTCTCTTCAGAACAAGGAAAAGTTTTAGACCTTAGTTTCCATCATTTCTGTTCACCTGACTCCTCAATTAACTGAAGATAATTGAGATTTAGCAACAAATGTCCATCATCCTTCACAACTTCAAATATCTATCTATCTATCTATCTATCTATCTATCTATCTATCTATCTATCTATCTATCTATCNTCATTCACTCTGATAGAAATGGAAAGTGATATAAATAAAACAAATAAAACAGTTAAAAAAATACTCTTCACTTGTGGATTTTCTAATCAAGAAACAAAAATGTTTTCCTCCAAAAGGTGCAATTCTGCCATATTAAAATATACACAAATGTCCCACCTTCTCAAATTTGTGATGCCACTGAATGGCATCTTCATTAATGATGAACTTTTTCCCATCAGGGGCTCTGGCGTCCATTCTTCCAATTTGGACTCTTTGGAAGGAATTATTATGGAATGTTACCAGGTTCTGGATATCGTATCCGGGGTCAAAGTTTCCCTTGTCATCAAAAAAAATTTCATCACCTGCACTGTTATTAAAACGGATGTGTCTAAGAAAGTGAGGAAGCTGGATTGAGGGAGGAATATAAACAAGATTAGATCAGAAACCAAAAGATGAGTTAATACTGTATTCCCTTAGTGAAGTGGAGATCCTTGACCCTTGGACTCTGATGAAATTGAGATTAGTAGCTATGCATATTTTTTGCAATGAACACAAATTTAAGTTTGAAAATAACGATTCTCCAAAGGCAGTCTCCCCAAATTTTTGTTGATCATCACTGTTAGAAAAATAATAGATGACAGGACAATATCTAAAAACCTAAGCATTTATTAAGAGGATTCAATGCATACATTTTTACCTGCACTTCCTCTCCTTTTTTAAAAATGAAAAAATATTAAAATAGCTGACATGATCTACATTTCTATGCAAGAGAAATGCAAAATTACAGGAAAATTGGCCCGTTTGTATAAGTTTTCTACATGCACATATATTTTCAATGAACTCAAATTTGTGTTTGAAAGGAAAGGTTCTGATAAAGCAAACTCTCAAATTTCTCTTGATTATAAATGTGAGAAGAATATTGGGCAATACAGAACAATGGCTAAAAGTCCTGAGAAAGTTAAGACGAAGGCCATGATTTATTTAAAAAGATTCGGCAACATACATTTTCGCCTACACTTCTCCACTTCTGCACAGTTCTTGTACTTTAATCGCACCACTGCAGAACTCTCTTTTAAACTTCTTTGGGCTGGTACTTTTTAAAATAAATATATGAACTCTTGAACTTCTTGAAAGGAAAGCTATAAAGCATATGATGTATCTAGATTGCAATAATTCAAATAGGAAATTGTGTAAATTAAGGCAAATCATAGTATTTTAAAACTAAAAAAACAGCATCCACAACATATACTGTAATCTGAAGCATACAGTATATACCAGGGGTGGATTCCTGCCAGTTCTAACCTCTTCTATAGAAGAGGTTCCACAAATCTACCATGCTGTTTAGAACCGGTTCCAGCTCCCTCCCCTCCCGTCCGCACCACGCTTGCTCTGCCCGCCGCTCACTGATTGGCTGGCTCACCAATTGCCGCCCCCCTCTCTAAGAGTCTTATCTAATCCTTAAAGTCTTAAAGCTGTCAAGTTTGAACACCCCTGGGTTTTTTTTTCCTAAAGTGTTAGGGAAGCAAGGGTCTTGTAACTTGACAGCTTTAAGACTTTAAGGTTTAGAAAGGACTCTTAGAGGCAAGCGAGACGATTGGTGAGCCAGCTAATCAGTGAGCGGCGGGAGGGGCAAGCATGGTGCGGATGGGGGGGGGGAGGG